AAGAGCCATTGTGAGTAATATTATTGTAAAGTTATGTTTTAAAATGGTTATTTGAAAATTCGATGATGTATCTTGTTTTCGAGAAGACTTTACTTTGTATTAGTATGAATGAATGTCCTATATTTTCGTACGAATCTAGGCATCCTTAGATAGTCCTAGCCATTGGAGGACAACTTAAATGCACCATGGTTGTTGTTGAGATCTCCTTTGCCACTCGAGGGTGGGTTGTTTAATTGGTATCCAGGCAGGTTATTCCTTCGTTTCACTCTATTGGATGTACTATGCTATCATGTAATGTAAATGTGCCTATTTTGTTAGAAATGTTTGAATGTTTTGAAAATGTGATATGATATCTATACTTTACAAATGGTTTGGAAGTCATTCATGTACCACTTCACTCTGATATTATTCACTGAGCTATGGCTCACCCCTTTCCCTCTATATATGTAGGTGATCAATACGAAGAGTAGCAATAGAAGGTTTTGGATTTGAGAAGTTGTTTTTGAAGAGTCTTTTGTTTTGTTAACTCTTTTGAGACTTTTGTACTTTTGAAAGGTGAGATTTTGTCGAGTTGTATAATAGTAAATAGGTTTTTGTACTTTGTGGTTGTAAATGTTTGTACCTTTAGTAATCTATATACATGACGTAAATTATTCAGAAGTTAAGTAATGAAGTCTCTGTTTTTTATTTCCTATCTACTTATGCACTGCTCTAGTGGACTTAATAGCTTAATAATGAAAGTTTCCGCTGTATAGCCCCAATATATCTTAGTCCATTCTTAAATTTGACGAGTTAGGCCTTTGGTAATCAAGGATTACTGGCTGGTCACCTCACTATCCTATAGGGGAGGGATAGGGTCATGACAAAAGGGCCTTCAAAACCAAAGGCTTAGTTGAGTGGGCTTGTGGGTTAGACTAAACACGGGATGTAATTACTAACGTATTTATGTTGTTTAGGCCTTGATTCCATTGAACCATGCACCAAATACCCAGCCTGAAAAATGATGCAATGCAAGATGTTGCTTTCCAAAACCATGACATCTTGTGGACCATGACCTCCCTCTCATGCACATTTGCTCCCCACTAAAGTTAAGGGACAACCGGGTCAATAAATATATCATCCCTACCAAGATCATCAAGAGACCTCGGAGATCTACATGCACCACCTTCGTCTTTGTCTCCCTCAACCCTGAGAATTTCACTACCTCTCCACCATGAGACCTAAGCATCGTCGGCTCCTTCATACACTCACCTCCATCTCGCCAAAATCGTTGACAAATCCATCTCGGAACATAGAACCATCAATCCACTCCTTGACCACCTGAACGTCCTTGATCAGAGCCTTCAAACCCTTAAATTTCCATACCGAACACCACCCTAGAAATTCCAAATTACTATACCATCAAATACGGATCCACTACCCTAACATCCTCATCTATCGTACCTCACTAATTCAAAATAAACAATTCTTGAGGCCAAGTGTCACGGGTTGCCTTGCAAGGCTAACTCCGTGACGTTTCGCCTACGGTGGTGTGGCCATTTGAGTGCTCAAGAGTGGCCGTTGGAAGTGCCCCAACGTGGGCTAACATTGGCCCCAAGTAGCCCAAGGCATGTAAGCCACTAATAGCCAGCAAACGGCAAAGCCGCAGCCCATGCCAATAACCAACCAGCGCTGCCAGCAGCAGCAAAATACAGCAGCAGCAGCCAGCAGTGGCAGCCAACAGTGCAGCACTTTGCGCGTCGTTTCGGCATTCAAACGAAGGAGTTTCGGGCTGAAATTTTTATGGTAAAGAGGTTTTGGGGAAAGTGTTTTCCCGACCAAGTTTCATGATTTTTCTCAATTTGTAGAATTTATGAAAAATCATTATAACTCCTCGGACATGTATGATGTTTCCTCCTGCCAGAGGACAAATTGCTAACAAGCATATATAAGGGGGCAAGGTGTGCTACCTACCTACCTCCCCACCCAAATTGGGCTTCAAGTGAGCAACATTGGGGCAACTCAAGGGCGGGCTTTAGGCATCCAAAGGAGTGTATAGAGTCTCCATGTGAGTTTGGGAGCCCTGTGGACAATGCAATAATGTAGGCACTGCGCGTGTCTCCCGAGGGAGAGATTCGCTACGTTGTTTAGGATATTGTTTGGTGTAACTTATTATAAATTAAAAGTTGATAATCATAAAGTTAAAATTAAAAGAACTCTTTTTTTAATTTTTAAATAATCAATTTTTCTCAACTTATTTAAACTATTTATGCTTACAAAATTATAAACAAAAATTATACTAAACAATCTAATACAAATTTTCAAATTAAAATACACTATAATCAACCCTATATTCACACCAAACACCCCAAAGTAGTCAAATTTCATGGAATAGTAGCAACTCACACTTTGGTTTTGTTGTGCACAAAGGTCAATTTTTAGAACATTGGTGTCCACATGGCACAAGACATGATTCTCATAAACATCTATGGAGATAGTAGCCCAAGGCATGTAAGCCACTAATAGCCAGCAAACGGCAAAGCCGCAGCCCATGCCAATAACCAACCAGCACTGCCAGCAGCAGCAAAATACAGCAGCAGCAGCCAGCAGTGGCAGCCAACAGTGCAGAACTTTGCGCGTCATTTCGGCATTCAAACGAAGGAGTTTCGGGCTGAAATTTTTATGGTAAAGAGGTTTTGGGGAAAGTGTTTTCCCGACCAAGTTTCATGATTTTTCTCAATTTGTAGAATTTATGAAAAATCAATATAACTCCTCGGACATGTATGATGTTTCCTCCTGCCAGAGGGCAAATTGCTAACAAGCATATATAAGGGGGCAAGGTGTGCTACCTACCTACCTCCCCGCCCAAACTGGGCTTCAAGTGAGCAACCTTGGGGCAACTCAAGGGCGGGCTTTAGGCATCCAGAGGGGTGTCTAGAGTCTCCACATGGTTTTGGGAGCCCCGTGGGCGGTGCAATAATGTAGGCACTGTGCGCACCCTCCCGGGTGAGAGGTCCACTACGTTGTTTCCATTATGCCACGCAATATGGTATCTTTGGGACTCATTTTGGAGCGAATGGGCTATCGAGGCACCACTAGAGGCCTCGTGTGCCAACTCTAGTGCTTGGTTTGGGTTCAACCTTGCACGAGGGGATCCCGTGGCTTAAGCTAACCGGTTAGAAGGCGACACCGCATATGTGGGCTATCGAATGAAGGCATCAAGCTATGCAATGACTACGTCCATTGAGGGACTATATTATGCTACAAGCAAGCTACGGATTGAGATGTTGCCTTACTCATGCTACACGCTGGTGCAACGCTAAGGTGCGCAATGGCCTTAGGCGGAATCTAGCACACGTGTTGGCACGAGGACTACGCCGTGGGCAAGAGATTGACCCTCAGTGGCTTGTGGGCTTCGCATGACCAAGTGGCCATCCAATATGCATCTATTGAGGCATGCTTGACCCTACGACACTTCGAGATGCTACTAGAGACCCAACATAAAACGTTGGCTTGTCAGCTAAGTTGAGGACCTTTGCTAGCACATTGTTGTGTGGCTAGGCACCTTGATGACATGAACCTAAGTTGGGCGAGCACCTTGCTTGAGATAAGCTTGGCGTTATGAAGCAACTTATGCCGTGCTTGGTGCACTTGAGGCATCAGGCCTACTTGTGGCATCCGGGTGGAGACGGAGCTTCCTTGTGAAGTTGTTTTGCTTGACAAAGCATTGGGGCCTAATGTTCAAACGGGTGAGACCATCAACACTCGATTTGTCAATGAGCTAGGGCGGGCTTAAACTTGGTGGAGTTTGAGCGCCACACGGGCAAAAATTGATCCGCTGCCCCTCTAAAGGAGTCGGCCCGTGACACCAAGCCAAGACCTCTACCTCCTAATCAAAAGCCTTCCACTGAAACTCTTTCTTCCCACGACCAACTAAAGCAAATTCTATCAACACCGTTGCAGCACCTGTTCACTAACCACCATACCTGATTCAAAAATAACACAACTTTTCTCTCCTATTTTGATGACTAACTCTTATCTTCACAAATCTTCCTTCCCTTTTTGTTTTGAAGGCTAAGAGATTACAACAATTTGCTCCCACTCTGAGAAACTGAGACTGCCCAAAAAAATCCTTGTTGACCTTGAGGTACCTCTCTTATCTTTATGCCCGACCAACCAAACCAATCTCAAACCCTAGAACGGTGAGAGATCTTTGGAATCCTTTCCTTGCCTCCATCACGAGCACCTGATTCCCATTCTCACCATTTGCAATGAACTCGAACGTCTCCAAACCTAAATGAACAAACCTCCTCATCTCCCCTCAACAAAAAAAAAAATTAATTTCCCCTTTATCTTCTTCAGCTTCTCTGAAACAATCAAATTGGAACCCAAAATCAGAACCCTAAAACTAAAAGGAACAAGAAAGACTAGTAGAACGAAGAAGAATCAAAAGAAAAGGGCGGAATTGATGAACAAAGCCCTTAAAAACTCCAAGCAACGGGAACCAAAACTAGATCTAAGCAAATCAAAACCAGAAGAAAGTGAACACCAGATCAAAATATGATTTGAAGAACCTGAAAGAAGACGGCCCTAAAGAACTAGACCTCATGAAGACAAAACAGCACTGAAAACAGAACCCTAAACAAAAGATGATCAAGAAATGATGGAAACGATGAAGAAGAAATAGGAAAGGAAGAAAATCACTAATCGAAACACCCCGAAAGAGAAAATTGAAGCCCAAAGGGGCTCCGATCAAAACCCTAAACTGAACACAAGAGAGAAAATGATAAAAAAAATTGCCTTTCTAGTTACTTAGGATTCTAACGTTGTAAGTTACATGCCACATTACCTTAGTGCCATGGTTAGCACCATCTAATCATTTTTCAAAGAGATACTGGGAATCATACGCATTGCCTTAGAAAATAAGTCTACCTCACATATTGGGCCCAATGCTATATTTAGAGAACTCATAATCTCAAAAGAAACATAAATGCCTACTCTGAGAACCGAATGAACAATACCCTTTAAATTAACAGGAGAAGCAGTCATTCCAAAAACTGATGGCCTATTCTCCGTAGGTGTTGTGTGATAGAACTCAGACATCACTAGAGAATATGGGTGTTTCTTCACAGCATGATGACATTCATCCAGAATAAGTAGATTGATAGCTTCCATCTTTATTATGCTGTGTCTTAGAATGTTCAAAAGTATTTGAGCTGTCATCACTAAAACCTGCAGCAGAAGCAAAGAGTTGCAGTGAGTAGAGAGTAAAAACTATTCCAAGATTATTGATAATTAAGTACCAAATATAAGTACTCGTTCACAAAGCAACCTTCTGCGACCAATTGCAGCAACCTTCTTTTTACTTTTTTAATTAAACATGGCAACCTAATTCACTTGAATTAAGATGAAATCCAATGATGATAATACAACTTTGAGTTGACATATGTACTTATTTTAACACTCAGTTACATTTTTACATATACTATATACTGCAGGCTGCAAGCTATGTTGCCGATGCAGTAAAATCATTAAGTTTTCCACCCGTATTTTTAACTTGACTGTAAAATCAAGAAACGAAAACCAATTACCCACAACATGACAAATTGAACTAATACTTAATAGGAATAGTTGTACTGTGATCAAATCCAAAAGTAAACAGCTTAACATAAATAACGTAGCCCTAAAGCAATCGCATTATACCAGCTGTGAACACCTCTAGAATAGTTTTCTACCAAATAGTTTAAGATATTTAAACTATGTTACCATATCATTTATAAATTTATCAATTATGATTACATAGAGTGATACAAAAATGAAATTAATCAATCACCTACAAAGCATGGACACAAACAAGCACGCAATATGAACACGCTGACAAGGATTTTTTCAGTCAGATCATTCGAAGATAAAAATAAATAAATAAATAAATAAATACAACATAATAGTAATTTCTAAAGTTTAACGGAGGAGCTATATTGTTTATTGGATCCCACGTCATTTTGTTCAAACTTGTCATGTAGCCCCATGTGTCTAAACTGTTAAAATTCACCTACTACACACCTACCACTACCACCTACTACACACTCACCTACTTCACCTACTCTCCACCTACTCCTCACCTACTACACACTCACCTATTCTCTTCCCACATCCTCTCTTCTATATATAGGAATCATTGTAATATATCAAAACAATAAATCAATAATACATAAATTTTAACATAAACAATGGACACGTGTCCCCCAAGTGTCCAAAGTGTGTTTGAGTCTAAATTTTTTTTTAAAAAGAATATGACATGTTTGGACATGCATCCAACATGTGTCAGGACATGTTTGATGAGTGTTGGTGTACAACACACCTTCAACACCAACATGCCACCTTCTTAGAAGTGTTTGTGCTTCTTAGTTAATTACACTAGCCAACCAAACAACTACAACTGTCATGGTTGCCGCAATGCCTTCCCAACCAAGATAATGTTTATGATCTAAAGGTCATACGCTCTTCACAGTATGCTTCTAATTATTATTCAAGTCACACCCGCTACACATGGGTAGGAATTGGGCATCTCTGTTACAGAACCCTTCATTGTTGGCACTGACAATAAATAATTGGTTCTTCATTGCTACTTGCTTAAGAATTGATACATACTTAATTTGTATGATGAATTAATCATATATGTAATGTTAGTGTCTCATTACAGTTTGGACCATGACAATACCATTTATACTTACAGTTAAAATTTGGCATTTTAATGCTTAAAACCATGATGTATTGCATTCCATAGTGGTTCAAATATATTTGTCTTCTCCAGTCCATAGTGGTTCATATATATAAAAGAAGAAAATAAAGATTATTGGGTTTATCTTGACAAAAACACTATTACTTTATTTTAGTGTCCATTGGGGCCTAAGAAACACGAACACTTTTAAGAAGGTAACATGTCATGTCGGACACAGACATGACACAACACTAGTAGGACACTTCCACACACTTAGACACACATAATTTACATTACAAGTTTGAATAAAATAACTTGGAATTCAATGATAAAACAAAAATAATGTAAATTTATACCTATTCTCGTCCTTTAGACTTCAAAAATTGTTATCTAACTTAAATATTCATATATATGACATATAATAATTATTTATCCTTATATATGGCATTATAACAATTTAAAAAATATATAAAATTATATATTTAGCACGTGTCCAATACGTGTCATGTCTTACATTTTTTGAAATTTTCTATGTCAGTGTGTCAGTGTCGTGTCTGTATCCGTGCCTCTTAGATTGGCACTTTGGCGGGTGTATCAATTGGGGATTGGGGATGTGAAATTTGAGGGCTTCCAACTACTTGAGTGCAACTGCTTAAAATAGTCATCCAACAAAACTTCCCTCAAATCTCATGTACTACCACTCTATCACCAGTAAAGGGAGGGGGAATTGCAAACAAAACAAAACCAACTAACATAGCACTGGATTTGGGTATCATAAAGATGAAACTCAATAATCTGTTTCACTGACATGCAAATCTTGAATGTAGCAAACAAAATTTATGCTTTGGTATAATCACATGTGCAGATCTAAGCAAACACTATTTCAGAAATTACATTAGAACAGCATAACTTCATAAATACAAACATAAATGTCAATAACAGTTGCCCAGTGTCAAAACTTTACAATTGCAACAAGAAAGCATATATACATATATATGCCTAGCATTAATCATTAGAATATTTTATATAGATATCACTGAACTACTGGTGGGACTGTAATCTTGGTCAAATTTGAGGCCTACAATACAACTAAATCAGGTTTCAGAGATGAAGAATTAGCTAATCATTACACATGTTTGTATAATGATACAGGTAATGAATAAGGTAATCTTCGATACAACATTTATTTTATTTTTGTAACAAATTTTTAAAAAAAAGTTCAAAAAAAAAAACAACTACAACAACAACAAAGGAAAACAAAGGGAAGTAACTCAAGCATAGTTTTCAATGTTCTGAAGAGCAACATGATCTCATTTCCAGTGTAAACAATAATTTTTTTCCTTTGAAACATCACCAAAGAAGAAAGGCATATCACAAAATAAGGAAGAACCATAATGGATTTCTTCTACACAAAATCCCATGTTCAAACGAAGGATGCTAGAAACATGAATTGACAATCATATGGAGTTGCTAGAGACATAATCAAAGTTATCAAACAACTGTCATGATAATGAGCAGATAAGGTAAACTAGCTTAAAATAATATGCATCTACGCATAACAAAATCAATGATCAAGTCTATCAAGTGGCTTTCAATGCTTGTGTTGCTTAATCATATTATTTAACTGCAATACTCATCAAAAATACAAAAAAGATGATTTAACTGCAATACAGTGATTGTACCAGTCCTTCAGATAAATAATAATAAACAACAAGATATAAATAGATACATCTAGAAAACAAGGACAACTATAAGCAGAAACACTGGAGCTACCTGCTTTGTTTCAAACTCACGCTGCCACCTCCGAGCATCCCAGAAGTCTTGGCCCATTTCACCACAGTAATGGCCTACTTGATAACCAGTTCGCTCACGAATAACTTCTGCTTGCTGCATGTTGGACAAAAATACAATAGCATTACTTCAGTTCGCGGTTGACGGGCATCACCCAGGGGTCACAATGTTAAGCATATAGTTAGTAAAATATGGGACAACAAAAGAATGATACATTGTATGCATGGATTTAACACAACGATTCTCTGAAAAGTATGACGAAAGATTACGTACAATAAAACAATAACAGAAAAAACTATATTTAGAGACAAACTCAGCTTTCTTTTCAAGTGAACTCTTACAAGTACTGATGAAAGAAGGCTAAATTCGTCTGTCTTCGATTCTCATATCTCAAGTTCTTAACAATGAACATATAATTCTAGAAAACCATGCTTATTCATTTAGCCAAATCAACTAAAAAAAAAATCTACAAAAACAAAAATACATAAAAAAAAATTAATAGTAGTGATGAGTCTGATGACAAAGTCTATATAATATTGCCTTTCTTGCAAATTGTGAGCTCCAGGGAGTTAGAAGGCTTGATTATGTTGTAATATTATCTGGCTGGTACAAGATCCTTTCACAAACTTTTAGTATGAGCCTGAGTCAAAAAACTAAAAAGAAATGCAAAGGGGAAAATTTTCATCTATTTTGTATCCTCTTGGTGACATGACCAAGTGGTAAAGGCGGAGGACTGCAAATCCTTTTTCACCAGTTCAAATCTGGGTGTCGCCTGATCAACTAAAGACTCGAAATCTCCTATTTTGTTCTGCTGATATAACTAGCCTAATTATTCCCCAGCAGAAGCAGAGGAAAGGGACTGCTGATACCTCTTTGATTCTAAGCATCAGGTCTTGGGGGGTTCTACAAGATTGTAAAAGACTTCGGAGTGGGACCAAAAAAGTCCTGAACTGCAGGATAGCTCTAGGGAAGAACCCTTGCGCACCAAAGCTGAAAAACAGAATTGAATAAGAGAATTAATCATTTACCTGAGACTGTACAGAGAATGAAGTGCATTGTGTTAATCATTTAACAGAAGTACTACACAGTTCAACTCAAACAGTTTTCAGAAGATTTCAGATTTACAGGGAAACAGGAGTTTCTTTCATTTATATATGTGGAATTATTTAGCAAACCTCTGTTCTTTAAAAAATTATTTCCCAAATATAAGTTGTTTTGAACTTATTTCTCAAACACACATTTCTTGAAGTTGTGTTTTTACAAAACACTAAACCTGAAAACTTTTGAAGTCATGCTTTGAAAATACAATTTCAATTAAGTGCTTTCAAAACATGACTTCACGTCTGACGTCGCAAAACAACATGAGTTTAGGAAATAAAAATTCTGATATAAAACATAAAATATCATGTTTGAGAAAAATGTTTTCAAACAACATGGATCTGGTTTTAATACATAAAATAAAATATTAGAACACCTCTAATCTAAATTCAAGTTTGAAACTTATGTAATTAACCTCTTTTGGTCAGCCCGAAAAAAAGTAATAGATCTATGAGGAAGCTCATTCGATTAGATATGGTAGATTAAAATGAGATACAAAAGAGTTGACGGCTGAACCATATGAGGTAGGAAACTCTCAAGTACAGTTATAAGGGAAGGAATTAATAGGCCTATTCTGACCAGGGAGAACAGGCCATTCGACAGGGAGATTCTGTGTGGATATATTAAAAATTTAACGGCAGAGACAGGGGCTAGAAAGTCAAAAACACTTTATAATTCTGATATAACCAAATCCTAGAGGGTGTTTTGCCTCTTTCGTACTTTTACCCTCCACATATTTCTACGATTTATTTAGTGCCTACTAAATCTTCTTTCACGTAATTGAACCTCATTTATTCAAGTAACATTTAAAGTGGATTTTACATATTTTTGAAGTACATCATATTAATATCAAATCTAATAATTGTGATAGCTACTACTATAAAAATTGTAATCCTTTTGTCTTCACCTAATTTTATTACTGTAGATACCACTACAAGCCATTTAACAAGTTAAGAACTTCAACTGTTTAGCAATTAATAACTAGGATAATAATTAAGGCTATGCCATATGATTTATTTAAATTTCTACCTTTGTTATTAAAAATTGGAATCGCAGAAAAAAATAATCATACCTTTGTTATTAAATGTCTATTTTAAATTAATTGTTGTAAAAAAAGAAAAAAAATTAAAAAACACAAAGGGTCTAATGCACTAAACTTCTGAAAAAAACATTATAATATATCTCTTGTTCATAGAAATTGGCATTTAAATAACAAATAAAAAGTATTTATATAATCTCTCCCTCCCAAGAAAAATTTCTATGTATCCACCTCTATACATTTATGATACAAGTTATATATGTGTATACCGATCATATGATGTAAGTATTTATTATGCCAAAGTATAACACAATCCAGGAGAAGTCTTACCTGATAAACAAGAGGAACTTTAGGAACCAAAAATACAGCCAGCATTCTCTTGTTTTGTAATTGCAAGTCACTGCAAACACTTTTTATGAGGAGGACAGCAATGAGGGTCTTCCCTGCCCCTGTTTCAAGAAAAGCTATGGTATTTTTCTGCTTCGCCTGTTTGAGAACATCCAACTGGTATTGACGTGCCTGTTCCTCGGGAAGTTTCTCCTCCTTAGCCTCTTCGGGTTTCTTCTCTACCTTGGCAATGCAATCCTGGTTTCTCTCAGAGGGTGCCTTCCCCTCTCTGTTTCTTTCAGATTCCCAACTACCCAAGCGGAAAACCATCTCATTTGAACCAGGGCGTTCTCTCTCCCAAAAACCCTTGCTTTCCCTCCACTCCCTCTTTTTACCACTGCCATAGCGTTCTCTTCTCGAGATATGATCTCTCTCCCTCCTGTCAATAATATCCTCCTCCCAATTGCGAGGCCTCTTCCGTCTCTCCCTCTCCCTAGGGCGGTGTTGCCCTCCTCCTCCTCTGTTGTGAAAGTGCCTTTCAGTCTTGTAATTGTAGTCATTAACGCGAGCTCTTTTGTTGGACCTTTTTCCTTCACTAAGTACTTTGTCGTCCTCGTCCCGGTCCCGGTCCCTATAAAGATCATCAGTGCCTCGAGTTTCTTCAAGGCTGCTGCGAACTCCATTTCTTTCAGGAGAATGGTTTGGTGATTTGTTGTCATTGCCATTGCTATTGCTATTGGTTTGACAATGATGCTTGCAAGTCTCAGTAGTGGCAGCAGCGGCATCGCTGTTGTTGTTACTAGGAGATTGCCCTCCATTGTCATTATTCTTGCTAGCCGCAGTAGTATCATCATCAAATTTGTTCAGTAATTGGTCCTCAAGGACTTGTTCCATCTTGGGCGGTCCTCCAACAACAGGTAGACCGTCACCATTCTTAATGCTGTCGAGAATCTGATCGATTCCTCCGAAGAAACAAGGATCCAACCCAGCCTCCGAAATGGCGGCAGCATCCGAATCAACAAAATCGTCAATAAAATGGCAGGACATATCCTCCTCCTCACAAGCATCCAACCAGTAAAAGGCCTCCCCTACATCTTCCTTCGCCGGAGGAGGATTAAGGCTTCCTGAAACCCTAGCCTCCCCCTCATATTCCATTACTACTATCTATTTATTTACTATTATCATATGATAACACACTAATTCAACAAGACAAACAAGAACAGCACAGAGAGACTTGTGTTTGAGAAATAAGTTAATCTATCTATCTAGTTTGCATATTAGCGTGAACACGCAAATACTTTAGCCCACGCAAGTTGGGTGATTCAAAGATTCCACGCATGATGATTCCGCCGTCTTTGCCCCCCACCCAAATCCGCGCCCCCAAAACTATAAACCCTCAACCAACTCTCTCTCTCTCTCTCTCACTAGACAAACAAACTCTCGGCTGTGTTTGGTTAGGTTTACCAAACATATTTTCATCCCTTATTTTTAAGTGTCTTGTTTATTTGAATTTTTTAAAAATTAATTTGACGCTTATTTTTAAAAAAAAAAAAATTCAAGACGGGAAAATTTAGGCTAATTAGTCGTTCTCTCAGACGTCTGACCTTTCAAGAACTAAACATCAGGTTAGTGACTGCACCAATTTTGATTTTGCTTAATGGTGCTGATGGGTTTCAAATTTACAGTGACGCTTCATATAAAAGTTTGGGATGTGTGCTAATACAAAATGGTAAGTTGATTGCTTATACCTTGCGACAACTCCGACCACATGAAAAGAATTATCTGACCCATGATCTTGAACTTGCAGCTGTGATTTTTTCACTAAAGATTTGGCGTCATTATCCATACAGAGTGACTTATGAAGTGTATACTGGCCATAAAAGCCTCAAATACTTCTTCACCCAAAAAGAACTGAACATGAGACACAAAAGATGGTTAGAGCTGATTAAAGATTATGATCTGCAGATTTTGTACCATCCAGAGAAGGCAAATACAGTCACAAATGCCTTGAGTCGAAAATCTATTGAAAATTTGTCATGTTTGCTCACTAGCCAGAGAGAAATATTATGTAACCTAGAGAGGAATGGAATTAAGATAGTCCTGTGTGAACAAAGTGGAATCCTAGCCGTCATTTCTGCTCAGCCTGCATTCATTGAAGAAATTAGAGAGAAACAACTTGAAGATCAGTTCTTAAAGAAAATTGTTGATAAGAGTGACTCAAAACCGAGGCCGGGATTTATGCTTGACAATAATGTGTTGAAATTCTAGAATAGACTGTGTGTACCGGATTGTTCTGACTTGAGGAAACGTATTATGACTGAATCACACAATTATAAATTTGCTATGCATCCGGGGAATATGAAGATGTATCATGACTTGAAACAAAATTTATGGTGGCCTAGAATGAAAAAAAGCATTCCTGACTTTGTGGCTAGATGTTTGCATTGCCAACAAGTTAAAGCCGAACATCAACGACCCGCAGGATTACTTCAGTTGCTTTCAATATCGGAATGGAAATGGGAGCACATTACAATGGACTTCATTGTTGGACTGCCTTGCTCCTCTCGAGGTATGGACTCTATCTGGGTGATTGTTGACCGTTTAACTAAGTCTGCCCATTTTCTACCTGTTAAAACTATTTATAGTGCGGATAAGTTAGCTAACATTTATATGAATGAGATAGTGAAGTTGCATGGTGTGCCAGTATTTATTATATCTGACAGAGATTCGAAATTCCCATAAATGTTTTGGTAGAGTTTACAGCAGGCCTTGGGAACTGAACTGCAGTTGAGTAGTGCATACCACCCACAAACAAACGACTAATCTGATCGAACCAATCAGACTTTGGAGGACATGTTACGAATGTGTGCCTTAGATTTCCAAGGCAATTGGGAGACCTACGTATCATTGGCCGAGTTTGTGTATAACAACAGCTACCATTCAAGTATTGGTATGGCTCCTTATGAAGCTTTTGTATGGTAGAAAGTGTCGATCTCTAATTTGCTGGGCTAAAGTAGGTGATAAACCGTTGTTAGAACCAGAACTTGTGCAAGAAACGACTGAGAAAGTGAAACTGATTCAACAGAGACTAAAAGCAACACAAAGTCGCCAAAAGAGTTATGCAAATGTTCGAAGAAAATATCGAGAATATGAAGTCGAAGATCATGTGTTCATTTGAGTAACTCCTACGAAAAGGCAAATGCGGTTTGGAGTGAAAGGCAAATTGGCACCGAGGTATGTTGGGCCATATGAAATGCTTGAGAAAATCAATTCGGTGACATATCGAGTAGCCTTATCGCCAATCATGGGACATATGCATAATGCTTTTCATGTCTCAATGCTTCAAGACTATCTACAAGATCCGTTACATGTTATTGAACCAACACATGTGCTTTTGAAGGATGACTATACCTATGAGGAGGGGCCAATTCAGATTGTGAACCGTTGGATCAAAAGATTGAGAAACAAATAAATCCCCTTAATTAAAGTAGATTGGCAAAACCACGGAGGGACATATGCAACATGGGAGACGGAAGAGGACATGATGAAGAGATACCCTGATTTGTTCCATTTGGACCCGATATTCTTCCGCAATGAAGGTAATTCGAGTTTGGAGGACCAAACTCTTTAAGAGGGGAAGACTGTAACAACCCTGACCTGTGATTAGCCGATAATCCATGATTAAGTATGTTTAATACGTAATTAAGAAGAAATTTTGGGGTAATTACATGTACATTGCATTATTTGTGTTTATATCTGTTTGCTGTAGGAATATCTGTTTGTGTTTCTGTTTTGTTCTACGAATTAAAGGCTTTATCAGCATCTGATCACGAAATTGATTTGGTTTCTTTGTTATTTGGGATTTTTAGAATTTTATGGTAGGTTTTATTAAAATTCAATTCAGAACGAATAAATTAGAATAATTAGTGTCCATTTGATTAACTTTAACTAGTTACCATTAACTAAGCCTATATAAGGCTAGTATGCACTTCAACTCCTCTCTTTACACCTCTTTGAGCCTTTAAAATAAACAAAATATGAACAAACAAAACGTGAGGGAGAGTGAGAACTTAGGGAGAGTGAGAGCTTAGGGAGAGAGAGTGAATTCAAGAAGAAGAAATTGAGGAATTGCTAGGAAACTCAAGGGAATTGGCTTGACACCTTAGTGCATTCACCATCTAGAACTTAATTGAGAAGTGGAGGTAAGGATGCAACCCTTGGCTTATGACTTATGATGTCTAGACCATGAATTCAAGAGGATTAAATTGAGTAATGAAAGAATTAAGCTAGAAATAAAGAAAATTTAGTCATTCATGCATGCATGCATTTTCATCACATTGTTTTGCATTGAAGCCAAACCATCTCATGCATGTTATGTTTTCAAATAATTGAGTTTTGTTTTGCACAATTAGCTAGCTATGGGCCTTGATTTTGCGAAATGATCTTGAATTCTCAATGTTTTCCAAGTTCACACACGTTTCCTTAAGTTTTTGGCCCAAGATGATGAGTTTTGATGTGTTGAATTCGAGCTTTGAACTTGGAAGAGCAATCTGGAAATTCCAGGTTTTGTCTATCCGCTCAAGCAACAGAACCAATGCTCGAGCGACCACTCTGTATTTGGCACTCTCGCTCGAGCAACTAAAAGTTGGCTCGAGTGTAAAATGTATGCTCCCAGAAGTTACACATTTTTGCAGACCGCTCGAGCGACCAGAGTTGCGCTGGAGCGAAGACATTAGTCTTACGCTCGAGCGACCGTCGAGCGTGCGTTGAGCGGAAAAATCAAGCAACCAGTACTGTTGCTAAGTTTGTAGATCGCTCGAGTGAAGGAATCTACGCTCGAGCGACCACTCACATTTTTGAACATCCCCTCAAGTGAATAAAGTTGCACTGGAGCGAGGACCCTGTTTTCAGCAAATTTGCCTAAGTTTTGAACATCATGTTTTGGCATCCTTATTGCATCCTAGACATTCTTAGGCCATGGTTAAGACATAATAATAAGGTTCAAGACCTAGAAACACACTAAGAATGAAATGAAACAAGTTAAGTTTTATTCGGTCGTGTGTTTCAAGCATGTATCTGTTCTATTTGTGTAGGTCATATGCCGTAAGCTTTTTGATTTGTCTGCTCTGTTTGTTTGCCTCTGGAGCCATATGTGAGTAATAACTTAGTAAAGTTATGTTCAACTTTATTTATTTTCTGTATGATGAAATAAGATTTGTTTTCTGAAATGTTATGTTATGTACAATGAATGATTGTCTAATTTCTGAAATATATTCGTGGCATCCTTGACATTATATGATATCTGTTAGTTGTTACCCGATATCGGAGGTTTCATCATGAAACTTAATATGTCTGCTATCTGTTACCCGTACCGGAGGCTCAATTATGGAGTTCAGCATATCTGTTATCTATTACCCGAATCTAGAGGTTCCTTTATGGAACTAGTTATACATAACCACTATCTTTTCTGTATATGATCTGTATTTGTTCTGTTAACGCTAATGGATGTACCACGTATGATTAAGCATAACCTCTAAATAATAATATGAATCTGTTTCTGATATGAAATCTGATTCCAAATCTGATATGGGACATCATTTAATTAAAACCCTTTACTTTGTTATTATTTACTAAGCTTTCGCTCACTATTTATATTATGTATGTAGGTGATAAAGCGTGTGACCAGGCTCAATAATGATCACTTAAAGCTTGTTTTGTCGGCCAACCCTTGTGTCTTCCGAAGAGATTCCGAAAGTCATGTGGTCATGTTTTGTGAATGTATAAAACTTGGTTTCTTTTGGTATATGAACAAGTTTTCTGTTTATCTGTACTTTGGGTTAAGTCCTACATTTGTTTTATCTGTATCAGTGGGTGACGTAAGACTGCTGTAGTATGACGTCACGTGCATGTATATAAAAGTTTTGAAATTCTGTCCCATGTATGTCAGCACGGCTTAATGGACTATGAATGTTTTTATATATTTTCTTTTTCAACCCCTTATTATGTCATAATCTGTTCAGAGGCCTTTGGTAATCCAAGTATTACTGGCCAGTTACGATGCTAAACCTATAGGGGCAGGTTTTGTAACAACCTCTATCCGTAATTAGCCACTAATCCGTATTTAATGATGTTAATGAGAGGATTAAAATAAATTATGTGTTTACTCTGCACTTTGTATGATTTTGACTTTCTATCTGTTACTTATAAAAATATCTGTTTGGAATTTCACTTTAATATGTAAATTGAAAGCCTTATCGGCACTCGAAACCGAAATTGTCTACACCGATATATTATTTGGAATTTTTAGAACCATAGTTTTATTAAAAATTGATTCAGTCTGATTCGTTAAGTCGCGTTTGGCAAACCTTATGTTCAAATTAGTGTATTTTAGCATCATAGCTTTATATGTGAGATATAAGCTCATTTGAGCTCATTTGTTTCATCTCTCT